AACCAATCCTAGTCCTCACTTTGGATGATTCATGCCTACGAAGCCTTGTATCCACAGTTCAATCCGGATCCACAGTCAGTCCTATCAGCATGTAAGGCCACCAGAGGCACAATACTGATGTGTGCTGCTCTCTTAGAGTTGCCCCAGGACTGGAACTGCAGAAAAGAATACGTTCATCTTTGGAAAAAGAACATTTTGTATTGTAGAGATGCAGCACTTTACACGATCTTTCTGTGTTTACACTTGAGGAAAGTGTTAGGATAACATTTGTGCCTTGTATTGGAAATAAAGTATCTACATTATTATACCTGCTGCTGTATTGTTATTTAGTACCTCAGAGGCATCCATGACTATTGGACAAGGCAGGGGAGCAGTGCTGCTTGCAAGGCAGCTCTTTAGAGACAGGACCTGGCACAGGGGACTCTGCAGGAGCAGCTATGGCAGGCAGTGTGTGAGCTGCACAGGAGATAAGAGGGGAGCCCAGTGTGCCAGGCTGAGGTGCAAAACACGAGGCTGGACGGATCAGCTTTCCCCCCCCTCCAGGAGGCCTCAGCTGGCATGCATGTTCTCTGTGTGCCACTCCAAGGGTGGCACTGCCCTATGGAATACTTCTTTAAATCCCTGCCAGCATAGAGACGTCCCAGCACCAGGAAGGCCCCACATCTCCTGGTCCACTCTTGACAGAAACCTGACTTAACACAAACAAGATTGCTCAGTGCCAGAGCTTCCCTTCGGACTTCTCTAACTCACTGCAGTTACTCTTTATGCAAAACTAAGAGCTAAGCTTTGTCTCTCTTGCAGACATTCTGACTAGTCAACTTCTCTACCAGTGTTATAATAAGTCAAGTGCATTCTAATCATCACCACAAACACTTCGAGCACTGCTGCTTCTCTGTCTGACTATGCCTAAATATAGTTCAACCTCAACCAGCCAGGTCACTTAGATTTCTGATTATCCAAAACAAAGCATGATTCCTGAGCTCTGTTTAATAGTGATGATGCCTTGATTACCCTGATATATTTCCTATTCCTCACGGTGTTCAGATAACGATGTTGGCTTTACTTTCTCTTGGAAATGGGTTATTCTACAGCAAAGATATGTTCCTAATAAGCAGTTGGCATTACTGCAAACAACTGTCTTAAATGAAATCGAACTCCACATTGGGAAATATAAAAATATTGCAGTGAGCAAAACTGTGATATTAATGTTTGGCTTTCCATCCATTTTATCAAGAAAATGCCCTGGGGAATACAAGCAGTTACTGGCAGTCGCTGGGTTTCAGCAGAAGGCAGTGAGTGCGGCGCAAGGCTCCAGTGCTGGCTGGAGAAAGGCTGACCTCTGCAGGATCCTCGGGCCCAGAGAGCTGCATCCCGGACGGCAGTCAAACAATGTGCAAGGTGTACTTTTGGCTGCTTTCATCTTTGAGAAATTAAAATAAAGAAAATTAAATGTGTGCTTGATGATGACATAGCAATATAAAATAAGCTCGAAAACACAGGCACGTGTTAATTTAAGAAATAAACGTTCATCTTTGAGAAGTCAGAAAACAATACTTCAAAGGAGCAAAACTTCAAAGCCCTCTGTAACTTCAAAGCACTGCACCACCGTTAATGAACACACAGGACATGTCTGTGAGGGAGAAAAAAATTTCCTATTTTAATGCTTGTGTAAACAGGGAGCAGAGATGAAGTGATTTGCCCAAGGACACGTGTAAGCAGCAAAGCTGGGACTCCAGGTATGAACGAAGTGGCTCGAGCTGCGTTCCTCAGAGCAGCCACAGCAGGGTTCAAGCAGGCATTTGATGGTCCCCCATGGAAACCCACTCAGCAGACATAACTGCAGATCCTTCCTATCAGTAGCATCACCTGCCCTTTTTCAGGCCTGCTCTAAACAATCACATTGTTCTCAGCTGGCATCCTCCTACAAAGTCATTGCTAAGTATGCACAGATCTATATAAATGATGTCTTTTCTGTCTAACCATATATTCAGAGAGCATTATTTCTGCATTTAATGATGATGCTTAAATGAGAGCTTAAATGTGTTATTCAGGACTTCTGTCATGACAGCCTGCTCTCTGCAGGGATCTCAACAGCACATGATCAAAACACAACCAGCACACCTACAGCACAGAGCTTTCCCAGTGACTGGGGAATCAGAGCCTGCATCAGTACCAATCTGAGTTTTACTGCACGTCCTTCTGGAGTAAAACAAAGTTTCCTTGATGCATGTATGCTCATCTGCTATGCCCCAATGTCTCTGAACACAAAGACCCTAAAAAGTGCTCTATTACAAAGAAGACAGAAGCAAAGACCATCATTTTCTTTTGTTTTTAGAATAACATAATAATGGATGCCCTTGGATTTGCAGAGCTGAAGATGCCAGCAGAAAGAAAACCAACACAAGAAGTACTTTGCAAGGAAAAAACAAACCTCCTCATGCCTCTCAGACATCAAATAAGGGTAAAAGTTAATAGAGAATGCCAAAGGTTTGGCTTAGTAATAAGAAATTTTGCCATTCAGACTTCTAATGAAGAGCTTCCTGGAAGTCCTGCACATATATGGTCTCATGCACTTAATTAAAGGAACACAGATATGGAACCTTAATATATTTCCTTTCCCTAAAACATTTATATGCCAAATAAGTAGAGTAAATAAGTTTTGAAGATATCAACAAAAAGCATACTTCAAACAGCCAGTTATTAATCTCTTATTCATCTATACAACAAGCTTCCAAAACTTCCTTGATGAATGCAATTCCTATTTTAACAGAGAATTTCCTCATGTCACCTCCACACAAAGAGCTTTTAAAAATATATCCAGAATTACGATTTGCAGACTAAGATTTGCACAGTAACTGGCCAAGTAATTGGCTGCATACTATTCTCTAAAAGCCCAGTTTCACACTGGCTCTAAACAGCCACTGCACACACAGGGCTCCGCTGTCCCCCCCCACGGCCGGTTAGGGGCACTGCACCTTTAATGCCTGCTGGTTTATTAGCACAGTTCCTGCACATTAGGAAATTGCTGCCATACCAACAGATTCTTTAGGAATATCACAGTTGATGGCTTTAATTTTTTTCACGAGTTCCACACTTTCTGTGTGGGCCAGCTGTATTCATGACACTGCTTAGCACTCGCCATTCTCCATGGATAGAACTCAAAACTGTGAGTGCAATCAAGCATTGCTTCCTCTATTTTGCATTGGAACAATAACAATGAAGACATAACAACCCAATCTGAGCAAACTTTAAGTAAGGCCTATTACTTTACTCAAGAGATGGATATATCTGAAGTACTTTGATGAGTCAGACCTGAAGACTAAATAATTTGCAGCTCATAGACTGGGTCATGAGCAGATATAGGAACAGTTGGACCTCCTGACAACAAACTTTTCCATGTTGTGTGTTAACAATGATTAACTAAACGACAGAAGTTTACCCATCCTTGGGGCAGTGCCCCTCTTTGCATTTCAGAGGAGTTACTGGGCTTTTAAATTGGCTGTCCAATTTGCTGACTCTGTAACTGGCTGGCTTTCAAAACTTATACTAGAAGTCTTGCCTTTCCTGGCTATTTCTTCAATAAATCTTTCTTGTAAAAAGAAAAAAAAAAGAAGTTTTGCAATCTAGCTTATAAAATAGAATAAGTTTTGCAATGCAAGCTTATAAAGTCAACTCATAAAAAATTAGAAATCTCATCAGTCACACTATGCCTACTGTTAAAGAAAATACAAGCAAAGGTAGCAGCATGCAATGGAAAAGGCAGTGAAAAAGACCCAGATGGCAAAATGTCCGATTTGCTTAAATAAGGTGAAGCTGTCAGCATATTTTCCTGGGATGGTTTGGGTTGGAGGGACCTTAAAAAGCACCAAACCCAACCACTCAGCTCTAGCTCTTACAGAACTGCCATCTCAATTTCTCTCAATTGCATTCCAAATACGTAGATGGTTATTATTATATTTCCTCCTCTCTGTGAGGAATTTTGTGACCAGTAAGTTAAATGAATTTCAGCTCGATTCAAAGGTCCCACACTCACACTGAAGACTACACATACAGATTTGAAGTCTCATTTAATTATACTTTAAAAGTTTTGTACACACCTTGATCCACCTCATGGAATAGAATTAGGCTCCAGACAGACAGCAGACACAAGAATGACAGCCTTAAAGTTAAATACAGCTCACAGACCAAAGTTGTAACTCATCCTGGAAAGCCTGGAACACTTTTTACAATCAGCTGCTCTGTACAGTTCATTTTTATCTGGATCTTTGTGGTTTTATTTCATTACACGACAGAGATTTCACCTACAGTGCAGGCAAAGGGTACTCCTTCATTTAACACTGTGCAAGTATGCAAACACAGCAACAGTAACCATGCTGTCCATTTTCTCTTGTCAGGTCTAAAAGCCTGGACAACTGGGAACCACAAAGAACAGCGTGGCCCAAAGGAACCTGATAACCAATATCTGCTATTCAAATATCAGCTTCACAAAAGCATTTTTTCCCTCCCTAACTTTGCATTAAAAAGTCTGGAAGAAGTCTTCCAAATGGAAGATCCTTACATATCACAGGTTTTTGTTTTGTTATTGAGCCTCACGTGTTGCTAAGGAAGAACAGAGAAAATCAAGGGACTTCTTTCAGAACTAAAGGTGAGTTTTGATTCCTTTCTCATTCTTTAAAGATGTATTATTGAACTACAGTGATTGCTGGTTCAGAGTTCTATCAAAAAGATTCACAGAATGGCTCGGGTTGGAAGGGACCTCAAGGATCGTGAAGCTCCAACCCCCCCACCGCAGGCAGGGCCACCAACCTCCCCATTTAATACCAGCCCAGGCTGTGCAGGGCCCCATCCCACCTGGCCTTGAACACCTCCAGGGACGGGGCACCTCTCTGGGCAGCTGTTCAGCACCTCACAGGCAGTGATGTGACCCCACTTTGATACTTTGTATTTCACTTCTGATGTTAAACAATAGTTTGGTTCTCTTCTTCCTTATCAAGGTGAGCATGCATTCCACCAGCCTATTTACCAATCCATATGCAATAGAAGTCCTAAGAACTAAAAGAGAAGAGCTAATAGAAGGCATTAATGACCCTGACCACCTTCTGAGCTGCCTCATAGACAATGGCATTTTTTCTCCAGAAAAAAGGATGGTCATGAGTTTCTACAGGACACGAACAGAAAAGAACTCTCGAGTTTTAGACATCCTAGTTTCTCAAGGTGAAAGAGCCTGCAGGCTCTTTTTCTATCCATGTTTAAAGCAAGTGGAGCCAAAACTTTATAACAAGATGAGAAAATATGTCAGTGAAGTAAACGAAAGCATCAGAGATGCCAGAAGACAACTGATAGGATACTTACTTGAAAGGGACAAAGTTTGGTTTGAAAAGAGCTGTGAACAGTACCAACAAGAAGGAGAGAGTCCTCAAAGAAAAAGTCACAAAGGGGCTACTAAGAAGAAAGGAAAAGAAACTCAGCTTTCAGGAGCAGCAAAACCTAGAAAACGTCATTCTGATATTGGCATCTTTGATGCAGCTGCCAACGGTTGTATTTCAGAGTTAGAGAAAACACTGAAAGATAATGATATTAATGCACTAAACTCTTCAAATGAAACCCTTCTGCACGTTGCAGCCTCTCAGGGGCACCTAAGCGTAATGGAATATTTGATCAGCAAAGGTGCTCAGCTAGATGTGATGGACCAGAAAGGGAGAACACCTCTGCACAGGGCTGCTGAGAAAGGCCATGGTGATGCAGCCAAAGTGCTTCTCCGCTGCGGTGCTCACATGTACAGTTTGGATAAAGAAGGCAAGGCACCACTTCACCTGGCTGCACAGAATGACCACAGTCACATAGTGAAGATGTTCCTGAGAGAAGAAGCAAGAAGCAGTGGGAACCGACATCACTTTTTGCACATGGCAGCTCTTAAGGATGAAAGCAGTCTGGCAAAAATGCTTTTAAAGTGTGGTGCCTCCACTGATGGGAAGGATGAGAGAGGACAGACAGCTCTCAGTTATGCTGTTTCTCAGGGCTTTGAAAACACTGCAAAAGCACTGCTGGAAGCTGGAGCCAGTGTTGATTCCAGTGTGGCCGAAAGAGCCTTCGACAGCAGCCACCCATCCATCTTCAAAACACTGCTAGAATATTCTAAAGATTTGCCATCGGACATAATGGAGTCGGCTCTTTTTAAAGCTGTACAGAAAAATTTGCACGGTATTGTAGCAGCTTTAGCTGACAGAGGTACAGATGTAAATGCCTACAATGAAACGCAGTACACTCCTTTACTCCTGGCGTGTGAGACGGGCAAGGCTGAATGTGCAGAAGTTCTAATCGAAAAGGGAGCAAATTTGGGAATAAAAACCCCTGCTTCAGACACAGCTTTGCACCTGGCAGTTCGGGCTGGGGCTGCCTCCATCACCAACCTGCTCCTGCACAAAGGGATGGAAGCCAATGTGACCAATCAGACTGATGAAACCCCACTCCATACTGCTGCACTGCACAACCATGGAGCATTGGTCGGCCCGTTAGTCAGCGCAGGGGCCAAAATTAATGCTGTCACTAAAGAGTTTGTTACTCCCTTGCATATTGCAAGTCAAAGAGGCAATGCTGATGTTGCCAAACAGCTGTTGCACCACAAAGCCAATGTTAATGCGAAAGATAAGCAGTCAAAATCACCTTTACATTTTGCTTGTGAAAGGGGAGATAAAACAATGGTGGAGATGCTTCTGAATGCTAATGCTGACCCCAAGGCACAAGACAAGGAGAAAAAAACACCTCTGCATGCTGCAGCTCTGCGAGGCCATCTCAGTATTGTTCAAGTTCTGCTAGCTAGAAAAGGAAGACTTGGAGATAAGGACATGGATGGATGTACTCCCCTGCACTATGCAGCCATCAGAGGAGACACAGAAGTTGTAAAAATTCTTTTGACATCAACGAAAAATAAGAATATTGATGATAGAAACATTTGGAGAAAGACTGCGTTGCATATTGCAGCAGAATATGGGCACAGTGACTTGATATACTTATTGCTGAGTTATGGAGCAGCCATTAACGCCTTAGACAGCAATAAGGATACCCCATTGCACTGTGCTTGCAAGGTTGGTCACTTAAATGCTGTAAATTCCCTCATAAACTGGTCAGAAGGAGAAAAAGCCAATTTGCTAGCAGCTAATAGCCTCAAAAAGACCCCATTGCAAGTAGCAGAATGTAACAAAACAAAGAATCAGGTTCACATTGTCACCCTCCTGAAAAAGAAAATGTTGATGGTGTAATAAATACGTAAAGCAAACATTTCTAAATGTAAAGGCAGCATTATTCTTTAATATAATTTGGATGGTGCTGGGGCTCTGTGTGATTGAGAACAGGCAAATTAAGTCAGTAATCAGTGGGGACCATGGAAAACAGGATCTTAAACGTACCATTAAACTTTGGAGCATTGATTACACATCTGCTTTTTCCCATGAACCTCATACTTGGGATCTAAAAAGTGGCAATCTTAAATGCACTGTTTTTGACCTTCTGTAGTACAAATCACCACTCAAGTCTGCACAGATAGCTTAGTTAAACACCAGGTTCTTAACTAGCCATCTATTATGAACAAGGAGACATTTGTATCCTCAAGGATACAGAGCATAGACATGCTGGAGCTGGTAATACAGCAGTTCGGTCTGTTTAGCTCAGGCAGAACTAACTGCAAAGCACTGCTGACAGACTGCCCTGCCCTCCCTTCCAGCCCGGCCATACACTCCTGCTCCAGGCTGGATGTGGGAGCTGAGCCAGCCTATTCCACAGCTGCACCTGGACAGTGGAGAGAAGCAGGTCTACAGACACCCAGTATCAGGCTGTACCCTGCTCAGACATCTCTGTGCAATGCCCCGTCGCATGGCATTAACACAACCTAGAACTATAAAAATTGATCTCTGTAGGATCACAAAATCACAAAGGCTGGAAAAGACGCCTAAGGTCACCAAGCCCAACCCACCGCACTGCCCACATCCCTCAGCGCCACATCCCCACAGCCCTGGATCGCCTCCAGGCCCGGTGACCCCACCACACCCCGGGCAGCAGCACCGGGGCTCGATGGCTCTTTCTGACAAGAATTTTCCCTAATATCCAACCTGAACCTCCGCAGCCACAACTTAGGGCCTTAGTTAACTCACCCTGAGCGCTTCTCCTCAGAGCACTCCACTCCCTCCCTCCGCACCCCGAGCCCGCTCTCGCCCCGTTCAGACCCACCCTTCACTTTCTCTCTCTCCCCACACGGCACCACAGCCGTTGCCCCACGCCTGGCCCCCAGCTGCCCTCTCCCCGCCCGGCGCCCCGCCTACCCAGCGCCATCTCTCCGCCTCCGACCGGCGTCTCCTCAGGGCGCGGCTTCGCCTCTGCCTGTCGCGCGTGCGCTCGCCGCCAACTGAGTATGCGCAGAGCCCCTCGATTCTGCCTCGTCTCGCGAGACTGCGACTCTTCTCGCGAGAGGTGTGAGCCCGCTATCATGGCGGCGGAGGAGCCGGAGGTGGATGTTGAGGGGGATTTGGCGACCGCGCCAGAGGAGGCGGCTTCAGAGTGAGTGAGGGTCGTGCGCGGGCACACTGTCGGTACGGCGCCCGGCCGTTGTGGGGAGCCTGAGTTCTTCGGTTTGTTCGGCCCGGAGCAAAGGGGCTGAGGGGAGGCCTTACTGCGGCCGCGGGTCCTCGCAGGGAGCGGAGCGGCGGCGCTGAGCTGTGCGACAGGGCTGAGGGGACGGCGTGGGGCTGTGCAGCGGGAAGGGCGGGCGGTTAGGGAGCGAATCTGCACCACAGGCGTGGAACGGGCTGTCACACAGGGCACGGTTCGCAGCTAAGGCACGTCTGACCGACTTGTGGAGTGAGCGGACAGCGGTGTTACCCGATCCAGCGGTGCTGGGACAGAGGAGGGGAATCACCCTGCGACAGAAAGCAGGCCGTGTGTGGTGTGGAGCAGCACCTCCTGCTGCACTGCTGGACGGGGTATCGGGCTGCTGAGCTGACAGCAGTAACTCTGTTGTCTTGCATACACGAGGATATGTGCCTGCTTGCAAAGAGATGTGGGAACTGGTGGCACAAAGTGGTTCAGAGTACAAGAGAATTTGCTTTTAGTACTCTAGCAAGGGAGAGAGGGCTGATGGCTCCTTACGCAAGTCTCAATGTTCTGGAAGCAAAGATTTGAATGACAAGGCATTACATAAATTACCGGGTGGTTTTTGCTATGTTAAGGTAGAATAAAGTTGATTAGTGATGGTTTTCTGAAGGTGAAAAGCAAATACTGACAGGAAAAGGTAAGCATAGTCTGGACGAAGTCTGTAAGAGCGCTGACTATCCCACATGATGAGATTTTGTTAAACCTTTTGGCAGCAGAAGCTGTCCTCTACAGGCAAACATTATTGCTTTGTTAAGGCAAATGTTCTTACCTCACAAAGGTAGAGCAATGTTAACTGGGAATAACACAAGTGAATGACACAGTTGAAGAGATGCATTGTCTGTACTATCCATGAAGTTCTGGTATTTTTCTTCTATATGTATTTTGCAAAGTCCCTTCTACTTTCAGTGGTTCTGGATGGGACTTCTTACTGTGCAGGGTTTCACTGGTATTTTGTATGGTTTGCAATGGGATAGGTGAGATGTTCAGTCTAGAATACTAACAGCTGACTTACTCAGGGGCAGCTAGGCTGTGCCTTATAGAATATTATAAGATAATAACAGTGCCTAACAGTCTACAATGTGTGACTTTAATTTTAGGATCTCGTTCTTCTGTTCACGGTATAGTTGCTAATGATGCATTCATTCTGATTGAATATATTTGTGGTTTTGAATATGGGACTTCTTTTCAGAGGTCATGAAAACACAGCATCAAGCTTACTGCAGGATCACTACCTTGATTCATCTTGGAGAACTGATAACAGTCTTGTAAGTTATTTTTAATTGAATGGTGCTTCTAGCAAGGTTATTACCACTACAGTCTTACCTCCATGTACATCCCCTTTTAGCTTATTAGACACTGTTTTTTGCTTATTTTCAGAAGCTGTTTATATATTGATTCTTGATACTTAAATAACAGCATAACAGAATCCAAGGATTAAGAAATGTTTGTGTTGTTTGCAGCCGTGGACGCTGGACAGCAGCATTAGTGAAGAAAACAGGGCTGTCATTGAGAAAATGCTGCTGGAGGAAGAGTATCCTTTTTCTGATTTGCTTCTTAATTACAAAGGAATTGGCCAAATTGGTTCCTTGGCAGTGTGACTGAAGCACTGTCACTTAATTAAGTCAGATAGCTACCATAGCTCCTCCTGTTGCTAGTAAGTCTGTGGCTTCTTCAGCCTGATAAGTATCCATAGCCACAATTACATAGTTGAGGCATTGGAAACAAAATATCCTGATGTGGTCAGTTGAGGGTATTAAGAATGGGATTGCAAGGCTTTTCAGCTTCAGGCTGCTCCTGGTGCCTGAAATTGTGCTCCTTTCCACATCAGCTGCTTTTTCAGTGCTACCTCCGGCGTTGTGCTGACACAGCCAAAGCAAACCTGCCCAAACAGCTGTTTTCACCAACAATTGCTCCAATTCATTTTTGTATTCCTTCTGAGACTATGAGTAAGAAAAGAAACAAGAAAATAAAGGAATTTTCCCAACGTAATGAGTTATTGAGAGTTAAATTGAAAATGGATAAGGCATCAGTACAAAGAAAGTTACTTCATTATTGTTTCTGTGTCAAAAAAGCAAAAGTCTATTGTAGGAACAGGGCACTTAGCTCACTGCAGTGAGTGTGTGCATTCAGAAACCAAGCATCACTGCCTTCTGTATTAAACTAATAAGAGCATGTGAAATTTCAGTTTCTAAAGCCATACATGCAGCATTTCTACGACTGAATTATTATGAACCAATGTGATCAGTAAGATTTCTAGAATTCTCACATCTTTGATACTTTGAAGACTTTCTTAATAACAATTTCAGATATTATCTCTCAAATAAATCACTTTCTGAGAAAATATGGCTCAGTCAAAAGGAAGCAGAAAAAAGATCTGTGAAAAGGTAAGCTGTGTTCTGGGAAAGCTCTCAGATAATAAGGAATTAATAAGAAAATTAAAAGCTGGTTAATTGCAGGTATATGCAATTGTATCACATTTAATAACTTCTAATTTCATTCTGTTTTTGTATTTGCAGCCCACATAAGAGAACTGGAAAAGCCATGTACGTACATTGTCACAGTTGCCTTTTTTTCAGCACAGCTTCCATTTTTTTAATTACAGAATGCACACCCAAAAATGTTAGCTCCCAAGCTGTTATTTCTGTTAGCAGAAACACTGTATGTAGCAAAAGGCCTGCAGTAAAATAACTTGTTGTGCTTTGTTGCTGGTTTGTTGGTTTGTTTTGTAGCACAGTGGTCCTTATTTAAAAAAATTGGTTGGGTTTCATGGTTATCTGGAGTCTTTCTTTGTGATGGAGAAGCTGACATGTTTCCCAGTCTGTCAGCCAAGTTGGTGCTTCAAACAGCACCATGAGCTTGACAGGAGATGATCAGTAGTGCTCTGGTCATGCAGGGGCTGTCTTCAGTTACAGGGGTTTGGGAAGATGTGTTCAAGAGACTTCACCTCATTTCCTTCCTGTTCGTAGGGTGCGATCTCCTACAAAACCAGGTAGCTACTCATTGAAGTGGACATCAGAAGAAAAAGAACTATTTGAACAAGGGCTGGTATGATTGCATTGATGTGTAATGTTTTGAATAGATCATTAAGTTATCTTAAATAATAAACTAACCATAAATAAGCATGCTGTGTTTAGCTGCTTCTACTCATGTTCTTCTAATTTGATGATAATTAATTACCATGTATACTCAGAGTGTTTTTATAAATCAGATCTGTACTGATGAATTGCCAGAAATGGCTCTGTGTGTTTAGCATGCTTTGTTCACTTAGGTCTGATTACAATTTGAGATCACAAAATATCTGAAATATGTTGCTTCCTGAATTGCACGCCCACACTCCTGTCATTAAGCATGCTATAACTAACTAACTGCAATAGGGTAAGTCAACTAGGGAAAGTGAAATCCTGCAGCTAGTGTTATAAGATCTTCAGAGATTACATGGTTGTGCAGTGCTGAATGCAATAGGGTTTGCTTCAGCAAGTGTAAACTCATTTCAGTAGCATTCCTTGGGTTAGTAGGCAATGGAATTTACTGCATGTCTACACTGAGTGAGGAATAGCAATGCTTGTTACTGTTGGATGCAATGCTTTTCTCGGTGCGAGGTGATCACTGAGCTTCT